TTGTTCATCTTCAAAATCAGAGACAGATCTTTGAAACTAGTGGTTTTTAATCAAAGCTGGCTTTATAGGAGGAGTTTAATGTATGCACTACTGTTTTAAAACAATTAGTATGAGTGTGTGAGTGTGTTTTTGTATGATTGAGCCCATTCATCATAAGTCTTAAATTTGTTAGAGATAATGTACCCATGTAGACTAGCAGAATAGTATGTAGATGTGATCTCAGTTGTAAATAGAAAAATCTAATTCAATAAACTCTGTGTCAGCCCTCAAAAAAAAAGAATCAAAGTAATTGCTAATATACATATATGTGTGTGCATATATATATGTGTGTGTGTGTATATATATAAATATATGTTTATAAATATATATATGTATTTTTGATGAATAATGGAAGCTGGGCACTGTGGTACACACCTGAAATCCCAGTGGTTTGGGAGGCTAAAGCAGGAGGATTGCAAATTTAGAGCCAGCCTCAGCAACTTTGTGAGGCACTAAGCAACTTAGTGAGACCCTGTCTCAGAATAAAAAATAAAAAGGGCTGGGGATGTGGCTCAGTGGTTAAGCACCCCTGGGTTCAATTCCTGATACCAAAATAAAATAAAATAATAGAAGCCAGGGAGAATCTAGAAATATAGACCATTTCTGTAAGATTCTGTCACTGAGTAGTTATTTCCAGTCAGCATCAATCCTACTGTGTTGGCTTTTCTCTCTCATTGCAGATAGATTTGCTTTAGCTGGTAGGGGAGGTATTTTTAGCAATCCCAGATTTCACACCCTTTTATCACCATGACTTAAGTGAAAAGCACTCTTGACTAACTATAGCCAGAATATTTTGGAGAAAGACTCTGATCAGGTTTGGTTGATGAAACAGTTTCTGAATCATACCAAGGGAATAGATTGCTGTGATCAGATCTGGCTCATGTATTCAACATTGCCCTCCCACAACTGTGATCCAGGAGGGCAGTCAGATATGATGGTAGAAACAGAAGGAGAACTATCCGAAGGTAACAAATAATAGCTACTACTGAGACGGGAAATACAATCTAAGAATTAACTGTGGGAGAGAATATGGTGAGTTGACCCTTATATATATGACATAGAGGCCACATAGTATATTTAAAAATCTTTAAATTGGAAAGCAAGAAACTTATGCTCTCCCTTTGAATCTTCTACCAATGATTGTATTATGTTGGATAACCCTCAATGTAAAGTGTAATGGATTCGATGATTTCTAAATTTACTTCCAACTCCAATATTTTATGATTCTATTTTTCACATCTCCAGAGTTTGGTGGAATGTCTGACATATAGTAGGTGTTCATTAAATATTGGCAAATAAACAAAAGAATAAGAAATGCTTATAGGACTAAGTTAAACAAGACTGGGAAAGCTGTTCAGTCTAACAATTGGATGATTATTGAACCACATATTTTAGAAATGGACTCCACCCAATCAACATGGAGTTGATAAGGTTTAGGTCATTTAAGCCATAATGTCTTTTTCTGTTATTTAATCAAAGTTCTTCTCACAACAAATGAAACAAAATGGAAATATAATGTTGTTATTTTTTAGCCATATGCAGTCCAGGAGCTCAAAGCAGTTGCTGGTGTGATGATTACTGCATCTCACAACCGCAAGGAAGACAATGGATACAAGGTAAACCTTGGACTCCTGAACTTTACTTATTTTATAGTTTTCTCACTATGAGCTTTTCAGGGTTTACACAGAGAATCCTTTTTTTTTGCAGCTTGGAATGTGGGAGCATCTCTCCCGAGCAAGTTTGTTTAATGTCTGCCAGAACCTCAAGGGTTTCACTGACTGGGAGCAATTTCTGTGTTAACTTATCAATTCTCACATTTGAAATTTTGGGGGAGGGGAATAATACAATTTATATAAAGTTCATAAATATTCAAACAATGTTGTGTATTATTCACATATTCATGCATATATAGTAAACCACACAAGCATATAAACAAAAGATTTCTAATAGTATTCACCCCTGAAACAGGTAGGGAAGTAATATGATCAGAGATAGTATCTTCCCTTGGGTCTTTCAGAAGCAGAAGTTGAGATGAGAATTTCTGTGAAAGTGGCTTTTTAAGGGAATACTCTTGGGAAAAGGAAAGTGAGAGAAGCAGGTAGAGGGTGGAGTGATAGTAGGGTGAAAATCAAGCAACTGTGTGGTCTCAGCTGAAATTTAGATTCATTGTAGTCTTATAGGAGAGATGGAATGAAATGTGTGCATCACAGGACATCACCAAGCTGGCCCCATTTTGAGGTTCATACCCCCATGTTAGTCATTGACCAAGAGTAGCTGGTGGTGATGGGTAAACTTCCCAAGGACTTTTGGACAAGGAATGTTCTCCAGAGAATGGGGCAGCTGTAGGCAATGTAGCAGCTAAATGATAGATAAATTAGGTCTGGCTAGGGGGATCTGAATGGGTACCAAGAATATCTACTATAGTTCTTCACTTATATCATTCCAGTTCTCATTTGGCTCATTATATTCAGTCCCAACTTTTTTACAACTCTGGTTGGTCAGAATTTTCTGGAATTTCTGACTGGAAATTCATCTCAACTTCTACTTCTAGAAGACCCAATTAAAGATAGTTCCTTGATTATATAAAAGGAGGATTTGTAGGATGGACCACAGCCCTGATTGTTGCATTTGCCTCTGAGGAATTAACTGATTTCTCATATCACTGACTTTGGCCATACCATCTATACTTCCCTACTCCTTTGGTAGTTATTTTTTTCTTATCTAGATGGTTTGTTCTATAGGGTGACCCTCTGATGGGTCATTGGTTATAAGCCTATGAGTCCATGGCTGCTATACTTTTTAATTTACAGTTAAAACAAGACATAAACCAAGTAAACCAAGTGCAAAAATATTTGCTGAGGCACCCACTTTGTAGTAGCAATCTTACATTCTCATGAAGATCAGAGTCAAGTGGCCCTACCAGAGTGATAATGCTTTTTCATGTCTGCTCAAAATGGCCAGGCAACACCTCTAGCTTTAACGTTAGTGGGACTCACACTATTTGCTCAGAAGCATCCTCTCTGGGACTCAGTTCCTCCAGAAAGTCAGATTCTAAAGGGTTTCCTAGGTCTCAGACCATAGATGGCCAACTCTGTTGCTCTGGGCCCAAGGGGAGGCAGAACATCGTGATGGAAGTAGCTTGGGATTTGAAACCAGGAAGTAGACAAAGAGCTAAAAAAAAATTTTTAATTGCCCAAAACCCAAGAAGAAATAGACTTGCTTCCTCATGATCTCCCTACAACAGTGAACAGGCCTCTTTCTGTTCTCTTTGACTAAGAGGGAAACATTTCAAGACTCTCATTTCTTAAATTATTTTTTATTCTAATTTGTTATATATGATAACAAGAGTGCATTACAGGGCTGGGGATGTGGCTCAAGCTGTAGCGCGCTCGCCTGGTATGTGTGCGGCCTGGGTTCAATCCTCAGCACCACATTCAAAGAAAGATGTTGTGTCTGCCGAAAACTAAAAAAATAAACAAAATTTCTCTCTCTCTCTCTCTCTCTTAAAAAAAAAGAGTACATTACAATTCATATTATATAGAGAGAGCACAATTTTTCATATCTCTGGTTGTATACAAATTAGAGTCATACCATTTGTGTCTTCATACATGTACTTAGGGTAATGATGTCCATCTCATTCCACCACAAGACTCCCGTTCTTATTAGGGGAATCTCAATTCCAGCTCACTACCTTGCACATAGGCATTACAATGCAGAAGCCAGATAAATCAACAGTTCCCAAACCCCAGTATTACCCCTACAAGCTTATCACTCTGAGTTTCAATTCTTTCCTTTTCCAGGCAGTGGGGACTGCCTGKAGTTTTTCCTGTCCTCTTGTGAATTAAGCTATATATTTAAGTTAATATTTTTTCTATTTTATCTTTAATTAGAGCTGTTTGCTTTTAGAACAATTTTTAAATGTATATTTATTTTTTAATTGTAGAGAGACACAATACCTTTATTATTTTTATGTGGTGCTGAGGATCGAACCCAGTGCCTCACACATGTGAGGCAAGCGCTCTACCATTGAGCTACAACCCCAGCCCCTAAAAATGTATATTTATTTTTAATTGAACACAATAATTTTACATAAGAACAAGAATTTTTAAACTATGTAGTTCACCATATTTCTTGACATAGAGCTTAGTATGTAGTACATATTCAAGTATATATGTCTTTTCTTCATTTGGGGTGCAGTAGAGAGAATTCATATCATATACATGGTAGAAATCCAGCATAGATATTCTCTAAGCAAAGTCTCTTTTAATTTTGAGATCTTGTGAATTATTGGAATTTATATTTTTTGCTTTTTTGGTAACTGTTCCTAATACTGTTTTTATCAAAGTATTTGACAAACTGAAAGCTTATTGAAATGTATGTGGATAATTGACATGTTAATTATATTTCCTGATATGGATTTTATTTGGTGTGACATAAATTCTACTTTAATTTATGATAGAAAACAGCTTCTGTATCACAAAATAGAATCATTTTATAATGTTAAGTTTAATAGTATGGAGTTTTATGGGATATTTTGTGGTTTCTTAGATTATCTCTAATATACAGTTATAAACCTAAGAGTATGTTTGGGTACTGTGGAATATGCATATTCTAATATTATCCTGATGCCCTGCTTATATTTTACTTGTATTGTTTTCCAAGTAAATTCTTAAAAACGGAAGTAATACATAATTATTTTATTATTGAGTCTCTGTGGAATCATCATCAGTGTATTTTGGTATTTACTAGTCTCATGTTGACATTCTTTTACTCAATTTACTTGATATATTTCTTCATAAAGCCAAAGATTTCTATTGTAGCTAAGAAAAATCTGTTGAGTATTTCAATATATCATTCATAACAATATTTACCTACACCTATCACCTAGGTTTATTGGGAAACTGGTGCTCAAATCACATCTCCTCATGATAAAGAAATTCTGAAATGTATAGAAGAATGTGTTGAACCCTGGAATGGTTCCTGGAATGATAATTTAGTGGACACTAGTCCACTGAAGAAAGATCCTCTACAGGACATTTGCAAGAGATACATGGAAGATCTGAAAAAGATCTGTTTTTACAGGTAACCAAAAGGGAATATAGGATGGTATTACCTTAGGATAAGGATAACAAGTGAGGAAAGAAAAAGTGATAAAAATATTTTCTGTTCATYATATTAAATTATAGCTAAGTAGTATTACTCATAATAGACTAAAAGTGGAAGTAACCCAAATATCCATCAAGTGATGAATGGATAAATAAAATGTTTGTATCATATAATGATATATTATTTAGTACTGATGCATACTATAGGTATATAAACCTTGAAAACATTATGCTAGTTAAAGAAGCCAGTCACAAAAAAAACACATATTGTATGATTTTGTGCATATAAAATGTCCAGAATAGGCAAATCTGCAGAGACCAAAATAGAGTAGTGGTTGCCTATGGCTGGGAGGAATCAGAGTTGGGACGGTAACAAAAATGGGATTTAGAGTTTGTTTTGGGAGTAACAAGAATGTTCTAAAATTAATTGAGGTAATTAATGGTTGAACAGCTCTATGAATATAGTAAAAACCATTTCATTGTACACTTTGAATGGGTGAATTGTTCAGTAAGTAAATTATATCTTAATAAAGCTGTTAAACTAATTATACTTATAACTGTATGTATTTCCTTTATGTAAGATACCTATGACACAAAATTGATTTTTAGCTTTTTCTCTATTTTCAAAAGTTTAAACATCGAAATTATCAGTTGTTTGCTTCTCCTTCCAAAATGAGAAGTGGGCTACAGTACTAGCTAACTGCTAGCTATAGTCAATCTAAAAAGACTTTGAGCCAGGCACAGTGATACATGCTTGTAATCTCAGTGACTCAGGAGGCTGAGGCAGGAGGATTGCAAGTTCAAGGCCCACCTCAGCAAGTTGGCGAGTTCCTGTCTCAAAAAATAAAAAGGGTTGTAGCTCAGTGGCAGAGTACCTGAAGATTCGATTCCTAGTACCACCAAATAAAAAGTAAAAAATATGATATTTTCTATCTTTGCTTACTTAAGTTCTTGTTTTTTAAAGAATATATGTACAGGGACTGTGATTATAGCTCAGTGATAAAGCGCTTGCCTAGCACTGGTGAGGCCCTGGGTTCAATCCTTAGCACGTAAAAACAAATAAATAAAATAAAGATTAAATTCTTTTYAAAAAAGTGTTTATATGCAAATGCAAATTAACAAATGAATCTAATTATATATCAAGCTGAAAACATAATCACACAGAGAGAGATTTCAAGTGACTTTAAATTTGACTATTTTCTAATGGGTCATATGGAAGGATAAGAACCACACACCTACAATGAATCAAAATGCATTCTGCTGTCATGTATACATAATTTAAAAAGTAAATTTTTTTACCATACGATTTATTTTTAATTTTTTTAGTCATACATGACAGCAGAATGTATTTTGACATATAATACATACATGGGATGGGGTAGAGAGAGAAGATGGGAGGGGAGGGGAGGGGGGATAGTAGAGGATAGGAAAGGTAGCAGAATACAACAGTTACTAATAGGGCATTATGTAAAAATGTGGATGTGTAACCAATGTGATTCTGCAATCTGTATTTGGGGTAAAAATGGGAGTTCATAACCCACTTGAATCTAATGTATGAAATATGATATGTCAAGAGCTTTGTAATGTTTTGAACAACCAATTTAAAAAAAGAWWAAAAAAATACATACATGGAATGTACATACATCAATCATAATGTCTATTCTATTCTGATGCCCTTCCTATCCCCCCTACTCCTCCCCTCCTCTCCCATCCTTTCTCTCCAATCTAATGTGACACACTTTTTTTCTTTTTCTCATCACAACATTATAAATGTATTTTGTATAACAATGAGGTTTTTCTTCCATCTTCTGTGCAACTCCTCTTCTCCAGTAAATTTATTTTTTAAAAAAGAATCACTTACCTGATTTGTACTTGTCATCTCTACAATTAGTAAAATTGATGGTTTTATAGATATAGATATGCATACATATATCCATAGATATATTATAAAACAAATGGATAATTTTAAAAAATATTTTTTAGTTGTAAATGAACACAATACCTTTATTTTATTTATTTATTTTTATGTGGTGCTGAGGATGGAACCTAGGGCCTCACACAAGCTAGGCAAGTACTCTACCACTGAGCCACAACCCCAGCCCATGGAGAATTATTTTGATGTCAACAAGGAACTAAGATTTTAGTATAAGAGAAGTAAATGTAAAATAAAAGAAAATAATTCTAAAATTATATTTTAAGTTTGGATTTGAAACATTAGTATGAACTCATGATTTATTTACTTCTTTCTGAAATACTAGTTCTGTTGCTAAAAAGGCTTCTATGAGTCACCTTAAAGCACAGATTGTAGTTTCTAAATGGCATTTCCCACCAAAAGGAAYCAGGGCTCCTGGAGAAATTGATGAATCCAGRACTAGGACAAAAAATGTACTTCTGAAATTAATCTTAATATTTCTGTGTCACTCTTTGTCTCTGCCTTTCTCTGCCATAAAGTAAGAAAGTACTGAGAGATATTTGGTTCATATCAAAAGGATATAAGAGCATACTTTATGGGGGCTTTTATAGACCAAAAATTGGACAGTTGGGTATCAAAAAGAATAATTACTAAGTTGCCCATGCTGACTATTAACTTGCAATCCTCTTGCTCCAGCCCTCCTAGTAGCTGGAATTACAGGTGTGCACAACCCTGTTTCAAAACAAGGGCTGCCAGAGTAGCTCAGTGATAGGGTGCTTCTTGCTTAGCATACCTGAAGACGGGGGTTCAATCTCCCAGAACTATAAAAAAAGAAGAATCATTGTAATTAACTAAGATATTAAACATAAAAGGTTGTTGGCTGGTAGTAACACCATGCAAACATTTCACAGATCACCTTCGAGAGTTGCTAGATTTGAAATTACTCATTCTGAAATTTTATAAATTCTGAATTTTCATTCAGCAAACTGATAAATGCTTAGATATTTTCTTTTGTCTTTCCTATATGAACTGACTTTCAGGGTTAATTAAATAATTGCTGAAGGATAAATATTTTAAAAGAAAAATCCAACTATTAATTACGAAGGAGTAAAAGAATTAAAATATCACTATTTTATTACCACTAATAAAAGTGATGATCATCAAGGGCTACTAAGACTTATAGGTGAAAAGTTATTGGGAAATTTTTGATGGATGGATCAAGATGACAAAATCCTGAAGAATCAATACTATTAACAGTAAGATTGACATCATGTGCCTCCCCTCAAGATTCAACATTTGTTCTTGCCTAAAGATTTGAAATTGAATCTATAATCTATAATGTTGCCTTTAGATTCACCTACCTATTTACAGAAAAAGAAGGTTTGTGGAACATGCTAATACATAAAGGATGAAATATGCATACCCAAGATGTAGGAAATTCTCCAGAACAAATGATTTAGTTTCTTCAATAAATGGCATGGGGATTGGAGAAGAAAAAGAGAACATGTCTAGATAACAAGAGATTTGAGAGACAGATGGTGTGGACCTTATTCAGGTCTGGATTCAAGTAAACCAATTGTATTTTTGAGACATTTGGGGAAAATTTGAGCACAGGTAGGGTATTGAATAATACTAAGAAATTATTGTGGATTGGGGAGCCTGGTGATATAGCTTAGTTGGTAGAGTGCTTGCCTAGTATGCAGAAGTCCCTAGATTCAATCCTCAGTACGACAAAAAAAAAAAAAATTGTGGATTTTGTTGGGTGTAATACTTGGTATTATGGTTATGTTTTTAAATTCTAAAGCATTTGTAAAGTAATTTGATGTCTTGCATAAATGAAACTAAGTTGACAGAATGTTGATAAATGTTGAATTGAGATGATAAGTATATTAATAGTAGGCATTTATGTATATTTTGAAATTTTTATTTTACTTTAATAATTTTATTTATTACAGAGAGTGGTTAATAAGTAGTCGGTAAGAATGTAGAAAGTTTTGCTATAGAAGAACCAAAGAAACTGTGACTGGATGTTAATGGGAATGATGCAGGAGGGAGGGAGTGACTAGAGTAATAAAGTTCTTGAGTGAGAAGAGATGGGAACCAGAGCCAAAGTGGAGCAGTGACCTTTGAGAGAAAGAAAAACACTCTGTTGTCAGAAGAAGGAAAAGATATGTATGGATGCTGTTAGATTGTGGATTAGATGTAGAAAGATTAGGAAGTTCTCATCAGATGGCTTCTGATGTTTGCATTAGGTAAAGGGAGAGGAAAGGAATAGGAGAGAAGAAAAGATTTTACACACTATTTTACAGAGAAAATAGTAAGCTTTTTGAGTAACAAAGTAAAATTGCCTGACAGTGCTGAATGCCCTTTGAAAGTGAAGCTCTTAACCCTTTTGTGAGATTTACTCTAGCAGTATTGTGCTATTTTGGTACAAGTCTGGAAAAAGGCACATTGTTGGGTTCAACACAGGGTAAGGTATTAGAGGATCAGGGTATCCAATGTGAAAATAAAAGAAGGTAATTTAAATTAGATACCTTGGAATTTAAGCTGGACTGAAAGAAAAAAAGAAGGAGTCTGCAGAGAATAAGAAAGGCCAGTTAGGAAGTTCTTGTGGTGGATCTGGCAAGAGATATATAGTGGCTTGGGTTAGGATACTGGTATAGCATATGGAAGGAAGCAATCCAGGTTAGGAAGTTGAACCACAAAGAGAGAATGTAGTTGAATTAAAAATCTTCTGAAATTTACTTTAATACCACATAGTTTTAAAAAAAATCTTACAGGGCTGGGTTTGTGGCTCAGTGGTAGAGTGCTTGCCTAGTGAGGCACTGGGTTCAATTCTCAGCATCACATAAAAAATTAAAGATATTGTGTCCAACTATAACTAAAAATATTTAAAAATATATCTTACAGCTCTGCTGAAGGCTTTAATCACTTTTTCTCAAATTTAAGTGTTTTGAATTACATCATAGGTGGCAAGTTTTATGATATTGATTGGTGATTTTTACCTTACAGGGAATTAAACTCAAAGACCACCTTGAAATTTGTGCATACATCCTTTCATGGTGTTGGACATGACTATGTGCAGTTGGCTTTTCAAGTGTTTGGTTTTAAGCCTCCAATTCCAGTACCAGAACAAAAAGATCCCGATCCAGACTTTTCTACTGTTAAATGCCCAAATCCTGAAGAAGGAGAATCTGTACTGGTATTTTTCTAATATTTAAATTATTATTAGTTTATTAAACCATCAGAATAAATAGAACTTATTGACAATTTAGAGATTACTTACAAAAGCAGAAACCATTGTAGTTTATATCATTTAAATTACACTGGAGTATAATTGTGTTTTGTTTGAAATCTCTACTACTTCTAGGCTACTTATTTTAAACTTAACCAAATTGTATGCCTTCTAAAATTCATATCAATAACATAGTGCCTACATTTAGGAATATTAGCATTGATTTAGATTCTTCAATACAATCTAACTTTTTGGGTTACTGTTTCAGGAACTTTCTCTGAGACTGGCAGAAAGAGAAAATGCCCGGATAGTGCTAGCCACAGATCCTGATGCAGACCGACTGGCAGTGGCAGAACTTCAGGAGAA